GTTTCATGTTGGAATTGTATCATGGTTTGTTGAAATTGACCCATGCTTTGTTGCATGGTAACCATGTTTGAAGTCAAAGCTCTTATCATGTCATCAGTTGACATATTAGGTTGAGAATTTGAGCCTTGATTGTTGAAAGGTGGTTGAGAAGATGAGTTGGATTGTTGGGAGTTTCCATACCTCAAGTTTGGATGATCCCTCAATCCTTGGTTGTAAGAGTTGGAGAATGGGTCGTACCTCCTTTGTTGATGTCCTTGGAAACCCAAGGCGTTGACTTGCTCTAGATTGTCTTCTTGAAGAGTTGGGCATGAGTCCGTGGGGTGTCCCTGTTGTGTACAAATGCCGCAGACCTTGACTTCTTGGGTCTTGGATTTTAAGAGGAAATCCTTAACCAAAGAAGTCAAGCCGGCAACTTGACTCTCCAGTGATGATGTCGATTCTGCAGCGGCAACTCTACGAGTTGAGGATCTGCGACCGAATTGCCGTGAGTTCTCGGCCAATTCCGAGATAAGATTTATAGCTTGTGAAGGAGTTTTATTAACAATGCCGCCTCCACAAGCGGCGTTCACCATTCTTCTATCATCATCAACAAGACCATCATAAAAGTATAAGATGAGGTCTTGTTCCGAGTAGCCATGATAGGGACAGCTAGCACATAGCTTCTTAAATCTTTCCCAAAATTCATATAAGGATTCATCATCCTTTTGCTCGATGTTGCTTATTTGCTTTTTGAGAGAAGATGAGATGGAAGCAGGATAATACCTATCGAGGAAGCACTTCTTCATTTGTGCCCATGTGTTGATGCTTCCTGAAGGAAGATAGAAAAGCCAATCCTTCGCGGTATCTTTCAAGGAGAATGGGAAGGCTCTCAGTTTTATTTGCTCTTCTGTGGCACCGTTTGGGCACATGCTTGTGCAAATGATGTGGAATTCCGAAACATGTTTATTCGGATCTTCTCCTCTCATGCCATGGAAAGATGGCAATAAATGTATGAGCCCAGATTTCAGCTCAAATGTATTACCTTCATCAAGAGTAGGAAAGGTAATACATAGTGGTTGTTGATTCAAGTTTGGAGCTGTGAGCTCCCTCAAGGTCCTTGTCTCGAGAGCCATGTGGAATGACTCTTCGGATTCGCTAGAGCTAGAGCTAGCGTTTGAGGATTCCTCTGAGGGTGTGTGCGGAAACAAATTTCTCAACCTCTCGAAGGCTTGTTCTATTTCGGGGTTTGTTTGGTAAGTAAGCTCGTTTATAGAACGGGTTTTTACCATATACTCGTGAAAGCTCAGAAATAGAAAAAGTAAGAACTCTTTATATTTTGTTTATTTAATTTTTTTATTTTTATTTTTCTTGAATTAAATTGAAAAGAAAAATGATTGCCTTTCCCCGGCAACGGCGCCAAATTTGACGTGCACTTTGTCGTGGTGTGCACTCAAAATAATAATCAACACGACACTAATACGTAGTATAGTGTAGTAAGGTTCGTATCCACAGGGAAAAGAATACTTTTCTCTTTATAAAATAGTAACAAGGGGGGGGGGGGGGTTTAGATTGAGTAAATGAACTTGAATTATATTTAAACACGAAGATGAATGAGTTATGTGGTTTAATTAATGAGAAGAAGACTTGGCTTTGCTTTTATCCACTTAATGAAATGTTCGTTGATCCCGGTTATATCTTTAACTATCTTCCTCTCGAATACTCAATCGAGGAGTATATCCAGTTCATCGAGGGTAGTTATTAATAACGAGAAGCGTTCATTAATAAAACTTACTACCGAGTCAATATAGAACAAGCGCCGTATATTAACTTGATAGTAGCAATAAAATCAAGATGAAAACGATTGAGATTGATAACCTCAACACAAGCGGTTTATTGGTTCAATCAATATAATTAATTCTCCTTGGCTTATTAATCATGAGAAGCATGCATTAACAACCCAAGTTTACTACCGTGAAAGAACCGAATTAATAACAAGTGTATTAACCGATTGATTCTAGTAATAATTAATATATAAAACAAGACTAGTTGATACTTTAAGTAATGCTCAATATATTAATATGGAATATGAATAGGAAGTAATTAATATTCAAGGAAGAAGATTAAAGAAAATAACTCACAACTTACAAATCATTAAGCTTCAAAGTAGCAAAACCAAGATGGAAGAGTTTAGCTCCTCATTTGGAGACTAAACATGATGAAAAATATAAAGAAAGAACTTGTCTAAACTGAGCTAAGAAGTATATGTGAATTGGTGTCCTAAAAGTGAAGGAAAGGAGGTGTATTTATAGGCTTTTTGAGGTGCAGGCCGAGTACTCGATCGAGTATGTACATATACTCGATCGAGTATGTGTAGAAATCAGAATTCGGTCGATACTCGATCAATACTCGAGTAGATTTTATATGTATACCCGATCGAGTATGTCGGTGTACTCGATCGGGTATAACAATAGAACGTGGCCAAATCTTTCCTTGCATGTTCCTTTGTTCCCGGATCGGATCCTTGAAAATCAGTATTGGTACTCGATCGAGTATAAGGTATACTCGACCGAGTACAGGTCAAAATCAGGAACTTTCCTTCTTTTTGTCTTGTACTCTTGCACCTTCCTCCACCAATGATCATTTGATTGATCTTGGACCTGTTTAAGCTCAGAATAAACCTAATCTAAACAATTTACAAGAATTTAACAAACTAATTATTACACCGAAAGTGTGTAATTTCCGAAATATTAAACAACCAAAACTAACTAAAAACGTAAATAAACACACGGAAATTACAAACGTATCAGTTGCAGACACGATCTTGCCTGCCCCGGACACGATCGTGTCTGGCTGCCAGTAGCTCCGCGCCTCATCCTTAATGCAGGCACGATCGTGCCTCCCCTAGGCACGGTCTTGTCTGACCTTTTCTTCATCGTTATTCTTCGTTTCTTGCTCTGAATGCTCCCGAATGCCTACGAGGTCGATCCAAATGCTCTTTCTTCACCAGAAAATCGTCTTGAATCTCCCGGTGACCTCCAAATCTCTCAAATCTTTGTCGAACGTCTTCAAATCCTTCTTGAATGCCTCTCAAGCGCCGATTGCCGGACTTTAACTTCTTCAAATCAACTCCAAATATAATGAAACTCGATCCAATATACCTGCTAAACACAACTTGAGCCAAAATTGAGACTTGCAACGCCTTAAAGTTAGGAAAACCATCAAAATCCGACCCGAACACGCATCAAATGCGTATCTAAATACGGACTTATCATGAGTTAAGTTGGTAGAGTTGGTAGAGGTACGAGTATTAATAAATTAATACTTCCTCCGTTCTTAAATAAATGCAACACTTTGACTTTTACACTATTCACATGTTCTATTTTGACTACGTTTTATTTATTAATGTAATAATATTATTTTATGAAAAAAATATTGTTAAACTTGTCTCATTGTAAATTTTCCTAATCTAATTTTTTTAATTTTTTTACTAATACAAAATCATTCATATTAATGGTCAAAGTTGTGTCTCGGCAAGTGTGAAATGTTGACTGTTACATTTATTTAAGAACGGAGGAAGTATATAATATATATAGAACGGGTCGGGTACCCAATATTTTTTTTTAATTTTGGAACTAGCCCGGATCATAGAAAAAATTATCCCGTTTAAATTGCATTTCAATTATATCACCGGATATTTTACTTTTCAATTAGGAGCTTTTTCCTTTTCACTTCTAATTTTTTATTTCAAAAATAACCTACTTCCTAATCAGGATGTTTTTACTTGGACTGTAATTTGCTGGTCTGGTCTGGTCTGGTCTGATCTGGTCTGGTCTGGTCTGAACTGGTCTGGTCTGGTCTGGTAAGGTCTGGTTTCTTTGTATTTTTATAACTATCCAAGTCTGGTCTGGTCTGGTCTGGTCTGAACTGGTCTGGTCTGGTCTGGACTGGTCTGGTCTGGTCTGGTCTGGAGCAAATTACAGTCCAAGTAAAAACATCCTCAGTCGAACAGAGAACGGGGTGATTTACCAAAACACGGGGAAAGGGGGTTGGGGTTTTTACCAAATAACGGGAGTCGGAATTCCCAATTCCGACTGGAGAGCCTCAAAAAAGTAAAAAAATCCCTAGTCGGATTACCCAATTCCGACTAGGGAAAAAATATTTTTTTTTTTATTTTTTCTTTTTCATTTCGAATTGGATAGGTGGGCAAAAGGAAAAAATCCCCTAGTCGGATTAGCCCATTCCGACTAGGGAAGAAGTTATTTTTTTTTTTGAATTTTGTTTTTCATTTCAAATTACTTAGGGTTCGAAAAATGAAAAATTCCGACGACGGAATTTTTTTTTTTTTTTTTGGAATTTTGTTTTTGATTTTGAGTTCCAAAAAAAAAGTGTTAGGGCTAAATTATATCAATTCGAAATTTAATTTTTTTTTTAGATTCATGACATATTTTTTAAAATGAAAACTTAGCATTATGATTTTTTTAGTAAGAAAACAAACAAGTTGGCGGTTGTATGCACTTGTTACAGATTTGGGCTTGGTCGAGGATTTCGATGGTCCGTCCCTCAGCACTTCAGGTCATTCAACATGGACATCTTCCATATGGGTGCAAGTATGTTGTCAATTACATCTTAATAATTGAGAATGTTTTACATGACGTTACATTTTTTAACTTCATATCGGTAATCAATAAATGTAGGTGGATCGTCCCCAAGTCATATAAGGGATCCCCAAGACATTGCATACGCTTGTATCGGGATGACCTAGACCGCATGACTGAGAGTCAGGTAGTACATGAAATTTTTACTTCAACCGTACTATTCAGCGTTAAAACACACTATTTTTTATAGTTTTTAAATTGCAAATTAAACTTTTTACAGTTTGATTTCACTCCCTACGCGTCTGAGATGCTCCCGCCTCTCATCCTTAATGAAGCTCCACTTTGGTCGGCTAGAGTCATGCTCATATTTTGCAATATGGCCGAAATGCATTACCCGGATCGATTTCTTCGGCAGTTCGGTATAAGGCAAGACATTCCGAATGCTCCTTTGCCGGGTACAATCGTATTCTTGCCCCACTCGTGTCAGGGAATCTTATTCGGTTTCCCACAATCGTATTATTTACACGTGTTACATTTTTATGTAGAAGCAAGGCGTTCACGAGGTGTATCAGCTCTTAGCCGACCGCGCGAGTTACGAGGATTGTCAAAAACGACTACGGCAGATGGCCCTGGATGTAGGTGATGAAGATATGCTCCACCGGGGCATATTCCACTATGAAGATGAAGATGCAGGTGGAAGTGACGAGGAGGATGATTCAGATGAACGTGAAGATGGGGGTGAGGACTCACAAGCGCCCCCTCAATTCTCAACACAGGGTGTCTCATTTGATCAACCACCCCCTCAATTCTCAACGCATCGAGGTGGGTCATTTGATCAACCACCGCCGTATTATGATTCTTATCAGTGGTCCACACAACCGGATGATTATGTTGAGTCATTTCTGAATTCGTCTTTTTACTATGGAGACACAACGGAGCCTTGGAACACTGGCGGTGGGGATGGAGCAGGGCCGAGCGCGTAACATTAGATGTAGTATTACATTTCATATTGTATGTACCGTCTATTCATTAATAAATTATATTGAAAACTACATTTGTTTTGTTCTCTTCCATTAAAATTACAAAAAAAAATTCACTTAAAAGAAAACGAAATTTTTGTCTAATTAGACAAATGGAGTAAATCAAAATTGCATTTAAAATTAAAAAAATTGCAATTAAAACAAAATTCACAATACTAATGTATTAAAAAACAATTTAAAGCAATCAATTGTTTTCTTACTAAAAAAATCATAATGCTAAGTTTTCATTTTAAAAAATATGTCATGAATCTAAAAAAAAAAAATTAAATTTCGAATTGATATAATTTAGCCCTAACACTTTTTTTTTTGGAACTCAAAATCAAAAACAAAATTCGAAAAAAAAAATAAATTCCGTCGTCGGAATTTTTCATTTTTCGAACCCTAAGTAATTTGAAATGAAAAACAAAATTCAAAAAAAAATAACTTCTTCCCTAGTCGGAATGGGCTAATCCGACTAGGGGATTTTTTCCTTTTGCCCACCTATCCAATTCGAAATGAAAAAGAAAAAATAAAAAAAATATATATTTTTTCCCTAGTCGGAATTGGGTAATCCGACTAGGGATTTTTTTACTTTTTCCGAAAGCCTACTCTCTCCAGTCGGAATTCCCAATTCCGACTCCCGTTATTTGGTAACCTAATTGTCAGTCCCGCTTTTTGGAATGTCAGACGCGGTAATTCCTTCCAGAGAACGATCGTTAGCGGTGTGACCCTCAATAACTCAGACCTTGTTCGTTCATCCTCCCGTCCTGTTGAACTGAATTAGCAGACGTGTGCGGCTATTCTCCTCTTGCCGAACTCCGATTGCGCCTCCGGCCTCCGCGCCTCCGGCCTCCGCGCCTCCAACCTCCGCGCCTCCGGCCTCCGCGCCTCCGGCCTCCGCGCCTCCGGCCTCTGCGCCTCCGGCCTCCGTAGCTCTGGCCTCCGCGCCTCCGCCCTCAGCCCTTTGCGCTCCATCTTGTGCTGCTCTGTGCTTCGTTCTCCGCCCTTTGCCCTCCATCCTGTGTTGTTCCGTGCTTCGCTCTCCGCCCTCCGCCCTGTGTCCGTGTTTGCTCGGCAACTCCGTTGCTTGCTGAATCGTGGCATGAGTTTGCTGGTTTCCAATTTCAGGTATGTGTTTGAGATTTTGTGCAATTTAATTTCACTTTAATTTTTGTTACAATTCATACAGTTAAGCTTTATTTTACTTTCTGATTTATTTTTGTTAAAATTTACTTTCAGCTTTAGTTGAGCCTGTGAGTGTATTGTAACTGATATTTCATATTTAGTCTTTTTAATTCCTGGCTTGCTTCCCGTGTAATGTTGTTTTTGTTGTTGTCTTTCTTGCTTTAGCCAATCTGCATATATACAAATGTACAACTACATTAGAATTCGTTTGAATTCTGCTTGTGTTTTTCACATATTCTCATTGGCTGGAGTAGTATTCACTTATTAGTTTCCTTGTGAATGTAAATCATGGCTCTGTAAAAATGACCATACTTTTCTAATTCTACATACATGGCCTTTCATGATAAAGGTTTCATGATATGGAATAATATAGGGTTCATTGTATCATGTTTAGATGGGGAATACATATTGGAACTATTATTTATCCAATTGCCAAATTAAAGCTTTTGATTGATATGGTTTTCTCTTTCCATTTGAGGCATCTGGAAATGGTCCCGATATCCATGGCAGTCTCTGCTTCCATTTCTATTTGGAAAAAACGGATTTGAGTCTCTAAGGAGTTTTCTGTATGCAAACATTTGGAGTTCTACCTTTATGCATGTATACTCTTATTTCCTTTGCAACTACTTGATTTCGTCCATCAATAAACATGCTCATTATCATTAGAGTTATACCCTTGATCAAGCTGGTAATATTGTTCCTAGGATTATAGTTTGATGTTTTGGATATAATGTGTTTTTATTACTATGTTTAGTCTGATTTCGCACCAATTGATGATTTGAATTAGTCCGTTCAAATAATCAGGTCTCCGCTTAGGTCCTTGTTAAGACTCACCTATTCTATTATTCCCATTTGGAGTTCCTGAAAATCATGAACTAAAGTTTAAACTTTATGTTGTGGTATTGTTAGAAAATTGCTGGAATTGCAAACCGGTTAATGCCTCATTCACAAGGAAGACTACTGTGTGGAAATTTCAGTCGAGCTAAGGTTGAGATTGAATCTCCATATGCTCTCCCTTATGGTTTGTCTGTTTATTTTATTTTTAATTTTCGATCTTCTCAGACAATTCATTGATTTTTGTATTTGATAGGACATATAAACTTGCAGGTATTTATGGTTTGAGGCACTTCATCTTCCATGTTTCTTCATCTTCACTCTTATAATAAAAACATAAAAAGAAGAGTTATTTACTGACAAGATTTCTTCAGAGCAATGCTGGAATATAGTAAACCTGAAACGTGGCATGCTCAACATCAACAACGAGACATTTGAAGATCATTTTGCAAGTCTTGTAAGAAATCTCAAAAACGAGAAACTATAAACAACCTGGAAACTACAATTGGCTGAAATATAGTTTATAGAGATAAACATTATGCTTAATATAACAAATTACTGCATCTAGAAATACATACAGTCTCAATTTGAATTGAATTATATACCTATTGTGACACTTATGTATGTTTATTTTTGTTTTTTATTGTTGTATCACGTACATTGTTTTTGTTGCAGCATGTTGCTTTTTGTTGCAAAATGTGATTTTTTGTTGCAACGTGTTGATTATTGTTGCATCGTGTTGTTAATTCTTTTTTTTATTGATTTAGATTTTTGTTTTACATTTAATTTTTTATTAGCTTTGCAACTTCCTTAAAATCAAATTGTCTATGTAGATTTATAAACAAACACCTAAAATGATAAAATTAGATTTGTGAAAGTAAACAACAACTTAAAACATAAAGAAACAATAAAAAACAAAAATTTCATGATTATAAACAAAAAGAAACACATAGAAACAATAGGCAACAACAAATAATAATAAAATAATAATGTTGAAATAGTTTAAGTGCTTTAAAAAAAATTACATTAGGAAAATTCATATTTTTACAATTTTTTATTTTTTTCTGAAGTTCATTATCTTAATTTTTCATATTTTTATTCTATGAGTTTATTTTAATTTTAAAGACCTTTAGATTACATTAATTTTCTAAATATCTATATAGATTACTATAGAAACACCTAAAATGAAAACTTTATATTTATGAATATAAACACCAACTACAAACATAAAGAAACAATCAAAAACTAAAATTTCATAATTATAAACCAAAAGAAACACATAGAAACAGCACGCAAGAGACTAATAATAATAACATAATAGGAGTAACAATAATTACAAAAGTTTAAGTGTTTTTTAATTTTTTTGAATTATTTCCAAAAGGACTCTGAAATATTTACAAAAGTCTATTTTTTTGAATTATTTCCAAAAGGACTCCGACTCAATTATTTCACAGAACCTGAAATAAGGCTGGGCCTCTGGTGCGCACGGGGTAAAGGCCTACTGCCACTCTGCTGACTGAGTCACCGTGACTTACATCCTCCCATGTGCTCTGTCGGGTCGGGGCGTGGGGGGCGCTTGGGGTTGGCGATTCAACCTTTTGGAACTACTTGAAAAGAAAAATAAAGAGTGACAAAAGTGATGTTATTTTCACTTTTTAATCTATTTGTGATATTTTAACAAAAATGAAACTGACTCGTTTTAGACCCGAACCATCATTACCTGAACCGGATCGTGGTTCCAAGACCCGTTTGCGCACCCCTAGCATACACCATGCTAGTGCAGATTGAATTAAACATAACCGCCCCGATTTTACTTTGTACTATTCAAAAAAATATTTTCATTGTATGATCTGTCTTTAGCTTTCTATACACGAAGTACGTAGTATTTGTTTGTAACGGAATGAGATTTTAGTGAAAAACAAAACTTATTTCAACATTAACGGAAAGAGATAATTATTGTATCTCGAACTTGTAGCATTATATTTTATACATAGTTAATTGATGAATGCAACAGTAGTTACGTTACTTGTGAATTGTGATGAAGGCAGTTGTAGATTTTAATGAGTAAGGATGTTTTTTTTTCTTTTGGCATAAGTAAGGATGTTACTAATCTTATATACTTGGGAGAATCCTTTCTCCAAATCTTTTCCCGCTTCCCTCCCTTCTTAATCGTTGTTCTCTCAAATACTCTAGGGAAAAGGGCCAAAATGGACACTGAGGTTTTTAATGAAGTGCGTTTTGGACATTAAGGTTTTTATTGGATCAAATAAACACCAAATTAAACTTTTAGACCTCATCGCCCACCCCCTAACAGTTCCCGTCAACCAGCTTCTCTTCCCCGTTATCACCCAGGTCCCTGCGATTAGAAGCTCCCAAATTGAAAACAACCCTAATTGATATATACCTAATAAATACAATCTCTAACAGATGACGAAGAAGAAAGCATTGATGTCGGATACTCCTTCAGCATCGAGGTCGTCTAAGGCACGAAAATCTGAGTCTGGTGATTCAGTGAAGCTTCGAAGCATCTATGAGCGACTGTATACTGGCCGTTCAAGGTTTTGCAGATGCATGAGTACAAATGGAACTCGCGTCAAGGCGCCACTTTGGACTTCATGGACTGACAAGAATCCAGGTAGAAGATTTCATGGATGTCCTTATTATGAGGTATGCTTGTAATTATTATTTTCACATATGAGAACTGGAGAAGACCATGAATATGTATAATTTATTTATATTCATTTTGATATTCATACCCTTGTGTATACTCAGAAGGATGGATGTGGCTTCTTTGAATGGCATGATGAGCCATTAACGGACAGAGCAAGACATGTTATCAATGAGCTCAAACGGGAGAATAGGAGACTCCAAGCTGCATTGTTTGAACTGGAATGTGATAGTGTTGCTGAAAAGTTGGAGAGTGAAGTTGAAGAAGTCAGCCGTAGGAATGATGCAGCCTATCTGGATTTGGAAAGAAAAACCAAAATGAAGAAGAATTATGTTATTGTAC